AATTTCCACTTAAAATACAAAATACTAAGTGTCCAATTAACTTTTTTTTAAACAAATTAACATTTTTTTTTTGCTTTATGATTTAAAACCTATATAACAAACTTATTTTGTGAAATGATTTACTTCAAAAGCACATATTTTTATTTAAAGTAAATACCACTTGGTTTGATATTTTATTGCATAATGCATTTGCATTATGCATATATTATACATTTTAAATGTCTTAAAGGAATACAAGCTCTGTTATTTTCTCAACATGTCATTCAATTTAAATTACAACCAATGTTTTAGCTTTCTGCAATTGCTTACGAAATAACTTCACAGGATGAAACAGAATCAGAGCATTAAAGCTTTCACAAACGGTTTTGAAAACTTCTCCCGTTGTATTAATGCAGAATGTTTTATAATGCAGCCCTAAAGACGTTAAATGCTGGCCACATTAACTGGTATCGATCTTCTTGTGTTCTCTGCCTACTAATGCTTCAGCGAAAGACTTCATAGTTCACTTACTGCAGAAGAATCCAGTGAAGAGGTTCAATTGTGACCAGGCCTTGCAGCATCCTTGGTGAGTCCATAAATAGCAGGAAAGAGGCGGACGGGTTGATAAGCAGTGAAAAGAGAGACTGTCCTTGAAGAACAGATGAAGAGTTGGGTCACATCTGTGGGAGGAAGTGCGCAAAGAAGAAAATGTAGAATAAACAGATGTCTCTTAACCTTGAGATCACGCTGAGATTGTATAAGATCTAAGAAGCACAAAACAATTATGATTGTAATTGCGAACATGAAATGGAACAGAGAGGAAATCATGTATTCAGAGAAATGGCAATGGATTATTGTGGTACTTGTATAACATACATTATATTTACCCAGAAGAAAGTTTTAGTTGCTCAGATCTTGACTAAAAAGAGTCCTTTAAGTTTCTGATTATGCTTAGTTTTCTGGCCATCATCTTTGTCTGAGATCTAACATTCCTTAGGAGGCCTAAAAGAAGAGAACTGTTGCCATACAGTAAAACTAGAGCTATAAAATAAATGAGGATGACATGGCAGATCTCAGAAAATATTCAGTGAGACATTTTTGAATTTCTTTTGAGATCCAGACTTCGTTTTCATATTTTACAAACTGAGCACAGTTGGAGGTCAGTGCTGAGATCTCTTCTGAGCTCTTGAGGAGACACATACTTTTTGTCAAAAGAATTATCTAAGAAACTACAGACTTAACCCAAAAATCATTTACTCACCCTCAAGTTTTTCCAAACCTGTATGAGTTTCTTTCTTCTGTTGAACACAAAGTATATTTTGAAGAATGTTGGTAACCAGACAGTTGATGTAAGCTATTGACTTCCAGAGTAGGAAAAATACTTGTTTGACAGCAGAAATAAACTCACACAGGTTTGGAACAACTTTAGGGTGAGTAAATGATGAGAACATTTTCATTTTTGGGTGAACTATCCCTTTTACAGTCCCCATTTGCTCTGCTTTTAATTTTAATTCTGCAGGAGAAATAATTGAGAGATATGAAAGAGATCTCATTTCAGATTTCTTCTCCAATGGAAACTTTGATACTATGCCATTCAAAAGTTTGGGAACAGTAATATATGTTAGGGCTAGGCAACGATTAATCACATCCAAAATAAAAGTTTGTTTACATAATATATGTGGGTGTAGTGTGTATAATTATTTTTAATATACACACACATGCATGTATTTAATAAATATTTGCATGTACAAGTATATACTGTATATATATATATATATATATTTATACAGAATTTATATTAAATATTATAAAGATTAATATTTTATATATTAATATTTTTTTCTAAAATATAGACATGCACGTGTGTGACTTCTCATACAAAATAGTTATACACAGTAGACACACACATATATATTATGTAAACAAAAACTTTTATTTTGGATGTGATTAATCGTTGCACAGCCCTAATATAATTTATATATATATATATATATATATATATATATATACACACACACATATAAAAAGAAGTCTCTTGTGCCCACGAAGGCTGGATTTATTTATTTATATTTTAAAATCATTTATATTTTAAAATTACTCCAGTCTTCAGTGTCACTCAGAAATCATTTTAATGCTGATTTGCTGCTCAAGATATATTTCCTATTGTTAGCAACATTGAAAACAGTTGTGCTGCTAAATATTATGTAAACCTTTTTTCTGAATGCTTGGATGAACAGAAAGCTCAAAAGAAAAGAATTTATTTGAAATTTCACTCCTTTGAAACATTATACTTTCTTTACGGTCACATTTGATCAATTTAATGCTGAATACAAATATTAATATTAATGTTAATAAAAAAAAAAAACTACTGACCCCAAACTTTTGAACGGTAGTGTACGTTTCATTTTGAATGAATATAATTTTGTCGTGGCAGGATATCAGGAGGTGCAGCTCTGGACAAGAACATCCATGGCTCAGTGTCAGCGCAGATTCAGAAAAACTTTGCCAAGAGTCACTGGAAGGTAAGAGTGATGAAACAAACCAGTCAAAATCAAAGTTGACAATTCTTGTTTTATGGACTATTGCAGTACTTATAATAAACGATTTTCCGTGCACATTTCTTAAAATTCATGTTCCCTTATAATCTTCATTTCAAATAACTTTCCACTTCCTCGTGCAGTTTACAATTAGTTAATAGTCATGTGCCTCAACAAGTAAAGTAATATGTCATTTTGCTTTTGACATCCACACTAAGCCATGGATTTCAATTTCCACTTCCACTACGCCAGATGAACAGCCGCATCCAGTGTCGTCTTGTTCATTGCACAGAAATATGTCAGGACAAGCTTGAGGTCTAGGTTACAAGGGCAGAACACTGAGAACATGCGGTCTGGCACTGCTTTTTCTAACACTGTGTCTAGACTGGAAAAAGACAATAGAACCCATTATAATCTGTGATACTACACTGGATGTGGAGCGACGCTACACAACACAACAGTAAACTGATGCCATATTCTATTTCTGATGTACTCCAAGCTCTTGTGCTACTTCTGTTATGAAGGACAAATGAACTTGCAAAGTCTAGTGTAGCACGGCACGACACGATAATAGCTATTCACTGTAAAAAAATGATTGTGATTTTGATGGTAAAACACCGTAAAAATGCTACAGTGAAAAAATTGGTTAAAGGAGTAGTTCACTTTTAAAAAAACTTTTGCTGATAATTTACTCACCCCCATGTCATCCAAGATGTCAACGTCAAGACCCGTATTCATTGTCTGGTGTCGTTTAAAGCCCTTTGGAGCTGCACTGAAACTGTCTTTTGGTCCTTAATGCATTTGGTTCCCAAGTCCATTATATGGAGAAAAATCCTGGAATGTTTTCATCAAAAACCTTAATTTCTTTTCGACTGAAGAAAGAAAGACATGGACATCTTGGATGACATGGGGGTGAGTAAATTATCAGCAAAATAATTTAAAGTCATAAAGTCATAATCATACACAAGTAAAGTCATAACATAATGATACATTTGCAAATCATTACCTAATGATTCATTAAAGCAGATAACTGGAAGTGGATAGCTTTGACCATGGTAATAAATTAATTTACACTAATATTGTGTGTTAAGGAATTAATAAATGATGACACATTTAATTAATAGCAATTCATGCAAGTACTAAGGTCCTGAAACAAAACCATTTAAGAACCACTGCATTAGTTGCGGACGATTCTTAAGTAAGATCAAAAATGTACCAGACTATACAGAATAAGACTCCCATCCTGCATGTGATGTGTGAAACAGCTCTACATGACCTGAACTCTGTGCCTGAAACAACACTTTGCATTTGTAAATGTATGGCTAGAGTTACTTTAGCGGCATATGGAGGCTTTGTTATTATTTGACGCCAGTCGTTGTTGTTCGACTTCTGAAAGTCTGCCCTGCAATGCAATTATGGCTTGTACCTTTAAAAGGGCAAATTCTGTAATTGCTGTAACTATCAGGCTTTTAGTTTTAGTGCAATAAATGCCTCTGAACATGGCACAGACTCTTCTGCTCTTATGTGTAGTGTAGGTTCAGCTTTTATTAAAGATATTTTCACTGGATTCTGCTGCTTTATCGCTGGTGTCTTTGTGTAACAGAGAGCCTTTAATGCCACGAACATCGTGCGTCATTTAACCAAGAAAACCCACTCTGGGGAAGACGATGAAGGGGATAATTCCACAAGTATAGGTGAGGAGATGTCACATGGATGTAATTACCTGCACATGATCTAACAGCACCAATATGATATTGCTTTTATGCAACAATGATTCACAAGACGCTAACAAAGTAAACAACATTTCTGACTACATTTGAACAATTTGAATATATTTGTCCTCCACTGCTTGGTCAATCAGATTGGATGACATAATCATTAGACCAACAGTACAAACAAAACATATCTGAAAACAGTTTATGAGTCAGTGGTTTACAATCCATTTTGATTAAAGAAATTGCTACAATTTTACACAATGTTGACATGAATGTCAATAGACTGAAATGTTTAATCTCTGTTTAATCTAATAATTTCTGTGAAACTCAATTTGAATTTGATTCTAAAATATGCTTTATTTTATTTTCCCTGAGAGTCATTCAATTATTTCATTTAACTGTTTCTGTTTAGGGACCATCTGACAATCCACTGGCAGTGAACAGAGGCTCTGTTAAAAAGAAATCAACAAATATGAAAACTGTCATTTACTCAACCTCATATTGTTCCAAACCAAACCCCTATGACTTGGTCTATTTCCAAGACAAAAGGAGAGGGGTTAACAAAGAGCCGTGTGAACCAAGAAAGAAGTGAACAGGTTCTGTGAACATCGAAATACAAATTTAAATATGGCTCGTGATGTTCATGTGCATATTCAATTATGTGCAAAAGAGAATGTATGTTGAGAGGGCCAGGTTTTAAGAAGGCCAGTCTTTTTTTTTAATTGGAGATTGACAAAAAGTCATTCTTTGAAAATAAAAATAAATGTTATCTTAAAAAAAAATAAAATAAATAAATAATAATAATATATTATATATATATATATATATATATATATATATATATATATATATATATATATATGAATTAAAAAAAACACCCTAACTTATTTTAATTTAGCCAGCCAGTTGAATTATTTGTGTTTATACTAAAACTGAATAAACTAAAATAAATTAATAAAAATGAATAAAAACTACAAGTTTTAAAGAGAAAACCCTATTAAAAATGGCACAACAAAATTACTAAAACTTTAAATTGAAGTGAAAAAAAAAATCTAATTCAAAATTTTAACAAAAACTATAATTGCATACTAAAAAAACACTGATTGACAATCCATATCATTGTTTGCTTGTTCTATAAGAGAAAGATCATTTTGCTAAACCTCTTCTTTTGTGAGAGAAAAATCACAGGTTTGGAACAACACAAACATGACATCATTTTAACTTTTGTGGTCACTGTGTTTGTCAGGACTGACATAGACTGAATCCGAAACCACTTATACCCTCAAATATAGTGCACTATTTAAAGGAGTAGTTCACTTTTTTAAAAAAAAAAAAAAAACTTTTGCTGATAATTTACTCACCGACATGTCATCCAAGATGTCCACGTCTTTCTCTCTTCAGTCGAAAAGAAAAAATTAAGGACTTCATTGGGTACCAGAACAGAGGAAGGCGAGCCTTTGTGCTTATAAAACGTATTTATTTTTGAAATTACCGATCATTTCGCTAGATAAGACCCTTATTCATCGTCTGGTGTCATTTAAAGACATTTGAAGCTGCACTGAAACTCTCATTTGGACCTTGAACAGTTTGGTTCCCAATGAAGGCCATTATATGGAGAAAATCCTGGAATGTTTTCATCAAAAACCTTAATTTCTTTTCGACTGAAGAAAGAATGACATGGACATCTTGGATGACATGGGGGTGAGTAAATTATCAGCAAAAGTTTTTTGAAAAGTGAACAACTCAGCCATTTGTAGTGGTGTTGAAACCATAGACGTTATTAAGTCCACTCATTCTCACTGCACCATAATAACGAGTGTACATCCGCTCACTCGTTTTCATTCACTCCTTCAAGGGAACTGTATTTGTGGACTAACAAAGGGGATTGGAATTTGGTGATGTCGGATTCAGCCATAGACTCTGAAACACACCTGTGGTTTAAATGAGCCTTCTGTCAGAGCTGCTACACTTCAGTGGGCTGTTACTGTAAAAATAGCCTCAGTGGAGAACAGCTCCTTCACAACTCGTGTTTTCATAAGTGTTCAACTCCCCGTCTACTTGTATTTGACGCATAACAGCATGCATCCATTTGACAGAACGCAACATTTAGCCATGTAGTGCTGTCTGTCAGCTGTAAGGACTGTCACTTGAAGCTGTACAAGAACAAATATGGCATAGAGTAGGAAATTACAGTGGATAAATGAAGTAAATAGTAACTGTATCTTGTGTCTCTCTGCTTTCATTACACCATGGAATAAACAAACCGATCTGCGTGTTATGTTGTGAATCTGTCACAGGGATGATATACGGAGAAAAGGACAGAGCCAAAAGATTTAAATTTTTGAACACTTGCCATCAATTGCTATTCCCTTTGTAAGCAATCTTACAGAATCACACAGCCCCATAAATTAAGAAGAACAACAGAGTATCTCCACCACTGACTGTAATGATACGCTGATCAGACAGAAACGCTGCCCCTCTAATTCATGGAAAGAGCTATGCACGGACCAGCCGTCAACATAATGAAATCTGTCCCAAACTGATAATTCAATCAATTCTGTTTAAGAGAAAAACAAAACAAACTCAAATGTGGCAAGCTACATGAACTCATGATCTGAATATCAGTGGGATGATTGTGATTTTGGACACAACAAATAAATACAAAAAATAAATACAACTTACTTTTGCTAAAAGGGGGGAAATTTACAGTAGCACCTCATTGCAGTACACAAGATCCAGGGGGCGGAGTCAGATCCAGATCTGAGGGGTGGAGCTGGGTAGGATTAGGGGTGGGTTTAGGATCAGGGGGTGGAGCTGGGTAGGATTAGGGGTGGGTTTAGGGATCAGGGGGTGGAGCTGGGTAGGTTTAGGGATCAGGGGGTGGAGCTGGGTAGGTTTAGGGATCAGGGGGTGGAGCTGGGTAGGTTTATGGGGTGGGTTTAGGGATCAGGGGGTGGAGCTAGATAGGTTTAGGGATCAGGGGGTGGAGCTGGGTAGGTTTAGGGGTGGGTTTAGGGATCAGGGGGTGGAGCTGGGTAGGTTTAGGGATCAAGGGGTGGAGCTGGGTAGGTTTATGGGGTGGGTTTAGGGATCAGGGGGTGGAGCTGGGTAGGTTTATGGGGTGGGTTTAGGGATCAAGGGGTGGAGCTGGGTAGGTTTAGGGGTGGGTTTAGGGATCAGGGGGTGGAGCTGGGTAGGTTTAGGGATCAAGGGGTGGAGCTGGGTAGGTTTATGGGTGGGTTTAGGGATCAGGGGGTGGAGCTGGGTAGGTTTAGGGATCAGGGGGTGGAGCTGGGTAGGTTTAGGGATCAGGGGGTGGAGCTGGGTAGGTTTAGGAGTGGGTTTAGGGATCAGGGGGTGGAGCTAGATAGGTTTAGGGATCAGGGGGTGGAGCTGGGTAGGTTTAGGGGTGGGTTTAGGGATCAGGGGGTGGAGCTGGGTAGGTTTAGGGATCAAGGGGTGGAGCTGGGTAGGTTTATGGGGTGGGTTTAGGGATCAGGGGGTGGAGCTGGGTAGGTTTAGGAGTGGGTTTAGGGATCAGGGGGTGGAGCTGGGTAGGTTTAAGAGTGGGTTTAGGGATCAGGGGTGGAGCTGGGTAGGTTTAGGAGTGGGTTTAGGGATCAGTGGGTGGAGATGGGTAGGTTTAAGAGTGGGTTTAGGGATCAGGGGGTGGAGATGGGTAGGTTTAAGAGTGGGTTTAGGGATCAGGGGGTGGAGCTGGGTAGGTTTAGGAGTGGGTTTAGGGATCAGTGGGTGGAGATGGGTAGGTTTAAGAGTGGGTTTAGGGATCAGGGGGTGGAGATGGGTAGGTTTAAGAGTGGGTTTAGGGATAAGGGGGTGGAGCTGGGTAGGTTTAGGAGTGGGTTTAGGGATCAGGGGTGGAGCTGGGTAGGTTTAAGAGTGGGTTTAGGGATCAGGGGGTGGAGCTGGGTAGGTTTATGGGGTGGGTTTAGGGATCAGGTGGTGGAGTTGGGTAGGTTTAGGAGTGGGTTTAGGGATCAGTGGGTGGAGATGGGTAGGTTTAAGAGTGGGTTTAGGGATAAGGGGTGGAGCTGGGTAGGTTTAGGAGTGGGTTTAGGGATCAGGGGGTGGAGCTGGGTAGGTTTAGGAGTGGGTTTAGGGATCAGGGGTGGAGATGGGTGGGTTTAAGAGTGGGTTTAGGGATCAGGGGGTGGAGCTGGGTAGGTTTAAGGGTGGGTTTAGGGATCAGGGGGTGGAGCTGGGTAGGTTTAGGAGTGGGTTTAGGGATCAGGGGGTGGAGATGGGTAGGTTTAGGAGTGGGTTTAGGGATCAGGGGGTGGAGATGGGTAGGTTTAAGAGTGGGTTTAGGGATCAGGGGGTGGAGCTGGGTAGGTTTAGGGGTGGGTTTAGGGATCAGGGGGTGGAGCTGGGTAGGTTTAGGAGTGGGTTTAGGGATCAGGGGGTGGAGCTGGGTAGGTTTAGGAGTGGGTTTAGGGATCAGGGGGTGGAGATGGGTAGGTTTAGAGTGGGTTTAGGGATCAGGGGGTGGAGCTGGGTAGGTTTAGGAGTGGGTTTAGGGATCAGGGGGTGGAGATGGGTAGGTTTAAGAGTGGGTTTAGGGATCAGGGGGTGGAGCTGGGTAGGTTTAGGAGTGGGTTTAGGGATCAGTGGGTGGAGATGGGTAGGTTTAAGGGGTGGGTTTAGGGATCAGGGGGTAGAGCTGGATAGGTTTAGGGGTGGGTTTAGGGATCAGGGGGTAGAGTTGGATAGGTTTAGGGATCAGGGGGCGGAGCTGGGTAGGTTTAGGGGTGGGTTGAGAGATCAGGGGGTGGAGCTGGAAGGTTTAGGTATATGTAAGGTGGGAGGAGTTGGATCTGGATCCGACTCCTCCCCATGGATTTCATGTTCTGCAGTGAGGACCATCTCGAAATGTATGGAAAAAAAGTCTGAGCTAAGTCACTTTGTCCCATAGCTTTCTGTGACAAACATATTGAATGTATTAATTTTTCATTTCATATTCCAATTAAATGTAATTCAATTCAATTTGTTCTCTCTCTCTATAGTGTTCTGTCACTTCTGTCGTTCTCTGTGAAATAAGAATGCAGATAAATGATACTAATATGCAGATGACATGGCACTCGTTGCACTTTTATGGAAAGACTGTGTAAGAGTATGACGAGCTGGTGTTATAACTAGAAAAATGGTGTGAAGCGAGTTCTATATTTATGACAAAATAATTAAATTACCCAGAGTCCCTAACAAAAATAATATTATGCGATCAACCTGTTGAAATTGTGAAGACTTAACTATTTGGGAACTATGCTTGACTGTACATTGAATTTTTCTGATAATGTGGATCTGATCTTCAAGAAAGCAAATCAGAGGTTATTCCTGTTATGGAAACTGGGAGAATCTTCAACAAGTCAGGTTGTTTTGCAAAGACTTCATACAAGTTTTAAAAAAAAATTACAAAAATGGCAGGTAAAATCAAAAGATCAAGCAAAAGTCAGTCGATCAATTAAATGAATTTGCTGCTCAGAGAAAAGCTTTGGCTATAAAAAGAGACAACACACCCTTTGAATCATGCTTTTGAACTATTACCTTATCGCCATCATTATGTAATACAAAAATCAATTAAAGAAATATATCAAACTTTTTTACCAAATGCAATAGGTCTTCTGAATAAGGGGTATGTGAATATGTTTGCTCTTTATGCTGATAGATGTGTGTATATATACACATACATGCATTCTTTAAATTTGGAAGACATTCATTAAATCTATCATTATAGATTTATCATTCTATAAC